GGAACTGAGCTGAGTTCCTGCCATGTTGGGCAGAAGTGAGCCCCTGGCAAGGGGAGAGGAATTCTTGAGAACAAGAAGCAAGCCTGCTGCATGGAGGAGGGAAAGCTATCACTGACACACAGACGAGACATGCACTAGCTACAAGGGTACAGCTCCATGAACTTTTACCACCGGGATCAAGAGGGAGATCATTTCCAGCAGCCCAGAAGTTTCCCTTGTGTCCCTTCCCAGTGTCTCCCCTGGGCAAGTTTGAAGAGGTGATGTACTGTCGGCAGAACCCCAGCCGAGGCCAGACTGGCACATCTCACAGTAACCCCATGCAGATTGTGCAGATCTGGGTCAAGCTGCTGCAGGCCCAGGTCTCCCTCCTTTCCAAGCAGTAAGAAGAACAAGAAGGGCAGCCTTCATTCCCTGGGAACGTCTATGTGCGGGGTGGGAGGCGCGCTATTCCAGTCATTTACATATGTGGGTGGTAGATCCCAAATAAGGAATGTAAGAAATACGGCATTAATTGTACTTTCTTTAAATCAAGTGGAATCCTCGCCAATTGACATCCGGCCAGGCTGCTCAGAAATCCAATCTTGGATGCGACAGGAGCTCCACCCCTCCCCAGGATCCTCCCAGTCACAAGGTTTTCTGGAGCACGGAGCTACGGGGAGGCCCCTCGGCCAGATCATCCATCTGCCCTGGTTACCATGGAGATGCGGATTTCCCCAGAGGCTGCAACCCCTTCCTGGCGGGAGATTCTGCTGCTTCCATGCCACGTTTAGGGCCCAGGGGGGATGTTATCGAGGCCGAGGGTCCCAGGGTGTCCCCCTCAGCTGTGCCCTTGGCACATCCCAAGGAGATCGCCATGGAGAGGTGCCTGCCTCTGTCCCATCCCCATTCTGAGGGGATCACTCCCGTCCCCTGCTGCTCTCAGAGGCTCTCTTACCCCCTTCCCCTCTCGGAAACCGGCATAATCTATTTAGTGATTTCATAACCTTACATTTTTATCCTGCCGCACACGTTCTCTTTAAATCCCCTCAACAGCCTAAGAGAAGGGTATTATTGTCCCTGCTGTACAGAGGAGAAAATGAAGACTGGATGGGCCTGCATCACCTAGGCAGGAAGAGATAGAGGTGACACTCAGATTCGGACACTCCAAAGCCTGTGCTTTGTACCCTGCCCTTGACTACCCAGGGGATGGCACCTCAGAACCAGGAGCAGTGACGAAGAAGCCAGTGTTACCAGCAGGCATACATGTCATTTTCAGACAAATTAATCCTGGCTCCATCATTGCTCCACAAGCTCCCAAGGCTGGGACAACCTTCCACAACGGAAGGCAGACTCTAATAAACACTTCCTGGAAATGCTCCCAACCTGGAAGCACAGAGCTTTAGACTTTAAACCTGGGAAGAAATCACCTACTCCTCCTTTTATGGGGGATAAAACTGAAGCCCTGAGAGGTGAACCAGGCCACCTAGGAATCTGGTGACAACTTGAGACCTGGGTGTCCTGCTTCCCTAGCCACCCACCACAGACCTGCCCTCTCACCTGCATCTCACACGGGGCAAAGTGTGTGTGTGTGTGTGTGTGTGTGTGTGTGTCAATAACTGTTTACAATACACTGAGGTCAGGTCTGGCACCAGGCAGCAGGCATGCACCGCGGCCTGGGCTCTGCAGGAGGAGCTGTGCAATGTGGCTTAACCACAGCCCCCCTCCCTGCCCTGCACCAGGAGGCCACAGTGCCCTTTGGAGCCCAGAGGCAGATCTCTGAGATTTTTCTAAACCCTCTGCCCCAAGACTGTCTAAGAGGGTGGCAGAGGTTACAGCCTGGAGCCAGGGGTCGGCCATTCCTAGTAACTGAGCACCTACAAAAATGGATGTCCACATGTTCATTCACCTACCTCGCCTACAGAGTAGAGGAGGCAGGCGTGCACCCTGCTCTTTGAGCTTACAGCCTAGCAGGGGAGACAAAAAGGGGCAGGGGCAGAGTCAAGGGCACGCAACCTGTGCAAGTCACACTGCACTTAGAAGGTGCTTGGTTTAATGCTCTGCTGTCATAGTCTTGAAATTCTTAGCCATTTTTGAACAAAGAACCTCACAAATTATGTAGCCTGTCCAAAGAACAGGCAAGCCATAGGCAGTGTATGATAAGTGCAAAAGGAGAAATGGGGACCCAGAGAAAGGTCCCCAGCACAGTCTTCCCAGAAGAATGGATAATCCCAGCTGAGCACTGAAGGATGAGTGGGAGATCCAAATGAAGAGGAGGGAAGAATATATTCCAAGCTAAGGGAGCAGCATGTACAAATGCCCTGGGATGAGACAGTCTGGGGTGCTTCATAGCCCTGCTATGGCATAGACTGTGGGGAGGGTAATATGCTACAAGGCTGAAAAGTGAACTAGGACCAACAACAGCCAAGATAATTTTGAAGAACAAAGTGGAGGGACTCATTCTACAGGACATCAAGACTTTTTATAAAGTTCTTAAAATAAGAGAGTGCGACTCAGAGATAAACAGACCAGTGGAACAGAACAGAGACTCCAGAAATAAACCCACACATATATAAAAGCACCATTATGGTAGAGGAGGCACTATGGTGACTATGTACAGAAAAGATGTATTATTCAATAAGTGGTTCAGGGACAACTGGCTAGCCATATAGGGGAAAAAATCAGACCCCTGTCTTACACAACACACAAAAATAAATTACAGGCGGCTTAAAGACCTAAATGTGAAAAGCAAAGCTTTAAAACTTTTAAAGGAAAATACAGAATATTAAAGGCCTGGCACAGCTGCTCACAGCTGTAATCCTAGCATTTTGGGAGGTGGAGGCAAGAAGATCACTTGAGGTCAGAAGTTCAAGACCAGCCTGAGCAAGAGCAACACCCTGTCTCTACTAAAAATAGAAAAAATTAGCTGGGCGTGGTGGTGTGTGCCTGTAGTCCCAGCTACTGGGGAGGCTAAGGCAGGAAGATCACTCCTTTGAGCCCAGGAGTCTGAGGTTGCACTGAACTAGGATGATGCCACTGCACTCTAGCCCAGGCAACAGAGTGAGACTCTGTCTCAAAAAAGAAAAACAGAAGGAAAGAAAATACAGAATATCTTGATAAACTCAGGGCAGAAAAAGCAGTTCTTTTTTTTTTTCTTTTTTTTAGACTGAGCCTCATTCTGTTGCCCTGTCTATAGTGCTGTGGCATCAGCCTAGCTCACAGCAACCTTTCTCCTGCCTCAGCCTCCTAAGTAGCTGGGACTATAGGCACACACCACCACACCCAGCTAATTTTTTCTATTTTTCATAGGGACAGGATCTCACTTTTGCTCAGGCTAGTCTTGAACTCCTGACCTCAAGTGATCCTCCCTTCTCAACCTTCCAGAGTGCTGGGATTAAAGGCGTGAGCCACCTTGCCTGACCAGGATTTCTTTAATGACACAGAAAAGATTGTTTCCTAAAAGGAAAGGTTAAGTTGTCCACCTTGAGATTTTAAAATTTCATCTAACAAAATATTGTGTGTGCACCGGGAAAGACAGCTCTGACTCATATTACGATCTCCCCAAACCCCATCCAGCAGAACCATGTCTGTGAGTGTAAAGGTTCCCAGGTTGGCAGGATGGGTCTTCAGCTTCCCAAACTAGGATGACCATGATTTCTAGGCACAGTTTCCCTTTTCTGATGTGAAGGAAGCCAAATTGTTCATCAACAGATTATTTAGTAAATATAGTATCCAAACTAACTATTGGGTACACCTAGCTTTTCCTCCTTAGGGCTTTTTATTCTGGTGGGCTCTGCCCTGCCCCACGGTGGACTCCTTCCCACCCTCTAATTGTCATCTTGGATATTATCTCCTCAGAGGCCTTCCTTGACCACACCATCTGAAGAAGGAGCCTGCCCCAGTCACTGCCACATCTCCCTGTTTATCTCATTCTCAACACCTATCACGATATGTCATTATCTTGTTATTCGTGTATTCGCTCTCTCTCCCACTAGCCTTCAACTCCAGGAGGGCAGTGACCCTGCCTGTGGGAGGCATAAACCAGCAGTCCACGGGGCACACATTTTGTTTGTTTGGCTTGCACAGTGTTTTTCCAAAAATTCAATTTATTGACAATATTTAAACATCAAGAGATTCTATATAAACATATGGATTTCCAGGCTCTCTTGAAAAACAAGATCTTGCACAGTTCGATGGATGTGAGTAACCAAAGCAACCTCTAGTTCTCACCAAGCCCCCACCTCACCCTATTCCAGCACACTTGGCTGTCTGTACTTATTGATCTCACCTGCCTGGCCTTGGAGGCTTTTGAGTCTAAAGCCCTTGGTCTCTTGTCACACCCTATTTACCTCTGCAGCTGAGAGTGTTGCAGTAAGTACACTGAAATTGAGAAAAATTAACTGTTGTGAAGGAAATACTTCCCCTCTGGTGCCTGAATTCTTCTCAGGCCTCCAGAACCAGTTACTGTCCCTTGAACTCATGCTAATGAGATGGGGACATTCCTTCCTTAAATGGATTAATTTACTCCAAATGAGAATTTTAGATTAGATTAACCCATTTCCAGAATAGATTAAATTATAATCTAGATGATGGGGTTATGGTTTTGATATTATTGTACGTTGATTAATCAAAGTGCTGCCCTAAATCCTGTGACTGAGTGGGTAAATGGGTGGATAGGTAAGTATGACATAACAGGGATTTGTCGTCTTTGGGAGCCTAAGCCTCTAAATCCAACCTACCCCATGAAAAACCCCTTTCCAAGCAGGTAGGGTTGCAACAGGGGGAAATGTGCCAAAGGGCATAGTGCGCAGGCGCGTTCGAAACCGTTGCCAGTTTCTCGGCGGCCCAGACTCCTTCCACCCGCACTGCGCAGGCGCCCAGTCGGACCAAGCTTTCCCTCCCCCTCCCATCTCTCCCCGTGTCAAGAGGACGCACTCTCGCAGCAAGAGTTCTTGCGCAAGCGCAGTCCTGTGTCTCCGCCCCTGGACCAATTGGAAGAGGCGGCGCCTGGGCGCTGGAGGCACGACGCCGTGGGTGGGGCCGGGACGTGGGGGCAGCGCGCTGGCGTCACAGGGGCGGCTATATAAGTGAATACAGGCGCCGCCCCTCCGCCCCAGTCACTGAGCCGCCGCCGAGGACTCAGCAGCCTCCCCCTTGAGCCCCCTCGCTTCCCGACGCTCCGTCCCCCCCGCCCGCCTTCTCCCGCCGCCGCCTTCCGCAGGCCGTTTCCACCGAGGAAAAGGAATCGTATCGTATGTCCGCTATCCAGAACCTCCACTCTTTCGGTAAGCCACGGGAAAGGTCGCGGGCCCGGGTAGGGCGGCGGGGCGCTCCAGGCCAGGAGACGGGGCCCAGGGAGCTGCCGAGAGCTCCGGGCCTTCGTAAGTTCAGGCGGAGGAGAGGTGTCCGGGTTGGCGGGCCCAGACACTGGGGTCGGACCCTAAGCGCGACCGGAAGGAGCGGGCGGGAGGTCAGCCTTAGGGCGGGCCTGGTGTTTCGGGTGGCGCATTTACTAATGGCTCCCAGGCCTCCTTGAGCCACACCCGCCCCCTCCCGCCACCCCTGCGTCACGTCCGTTACGTCACTCGCCCTTGTCACGGAGTTGGAGGGAAAGGCGGTGCCAACCCTAAGTGACAAACGCGAGCACCAATGGGGGTGGGAGGTTTGGCCCCGCCTCGGGAGCTCGGGTTCCGGCGGGTTGCATCAGCCGGGTGGGGCGCCGCCTGCCAGCCCTGGCTCCCCCGACACGTGATCAACTTCCGAGGGAGGGCGGGAGGCCCAGGTTTTTCCGTGCCTGGAGCAGCCGGCCGTCCCGGACTGACCTGTTAGGGGAGAACCAACAAGGGCGCATCCGACTTGACCCAAGCCCTGACGATTTCAGCATTGGTTTCTGCACTCTCAAAAGATCCAGTGGGGGGAGCAGGGGAAGGGGTGGTAGTAGCATCCGACCCGTGACAGCTCTTAACGAGCTTAACCTTTCTTCCCAGACCCCTTTGCTGATGCAAGTAAGGGTGATGACCTGCTTCCTGCTGGCACTGAGGATTATATCCATATAAGAATTCAACAGAGAAACGGCAGGAAGACCCTTACTACTGTCCAAGGGATCGCTGATGATTACGATAAAAAGAAATTAGTGAAGGCGTTTAAGAAGGTAAGTCTTCGATCAGATTGTAGGGTAGTTACATTTGGTTTGTCCACAAGGGGGTGCTAACTATGTTGTATGGCTTACCAGAAAGGACGATTAGGTGCGTTGGTGCTGTTGCTTGGCCTCATTTGTTTTTGCTTGCTTCCTGCTTGCAGAAATTTGCCTGCAATGGTACTGTAATTGAGCATCCAGAATATGGAGAAGTAATTCAGCTACAGGGTGACCAGCGCAAGAACATATGCCAGTTCCTTGTAGAGGTGAGTTCAGTGGCTTCTTAATTCCGTTTGTGCCTCTTTACTGTCGGATATCAGATCTTACCTAGTCTATTCAATTTCTGCTGACATGGAAGTTTGATTTGTAAGGCTAAGCAAAACAGTTGTTGAGTTTTAGAGTACATTTCTACAAATAGAAAGGGACTTGTCTGCCTTAAGTTTACTGTCTATGTGGACCTGCTTTACAGATGCAAATTTACGTAGTGCACAGACATGCTAAAATAAGCCAGATGCTGGGTGGTTCCTGTATTTTAAGTGAATTTTTTAAGAACTAGAGTTCTGTTAACATCGTTGGTTCCTGATATAATTAAAGAGATTTCTGATACCTGATCTCCATCCTGTTGCACCCTAATTCAGAATCTTGGAAGGCACCGTATGTTTCAAAAAGTAGTTCTTGGCTGAGTGTCCTAAGTGTTGGGCCAGTGTAGGAGCAGGAAGACAGGATTGTTGCTGCCAGAAATGGGGACTTTGACTCTCCGTCTCCCATTTCAACTTTGCCCTTTTCTCTTTGCAGATTGGACTGGCTAAGGACGATCAGCTGAAGGTTCATGGGTTTTAAGTGCTTGTGGCTCACGGAAGCTTAAGTGAGGATTTCCTTGCAATGAGTAGAATTTCCCCTCTGTCCCTTGTCACAAGTTTAAAAACCTCACAGCTTGTATAATGTAACCATTTGGGGTCTGCTTTTAACTTGGACTAGTGTAACTCCTTCATGCAATAAACTGAAAAGAGCCATGCTGTCTAGTCTTGAAGTCCCTCATTTACACAGAGGTCAAGCAGGAGGCGCCTGGCAATGTCAACCCTGAAACAAAGCAATAACGTGGTGTTTCAGCCAAGCCCACAGCCCTAAGATCACAGACAGCTATGTCTGGCCAGAAGCTCCTCGCCTCTCCCTCTGCAGAGTTCCTGCCCTAAGAGAATGTCACCACCTGGACAACCCACCGTGAATGTGAGAGGATGGGGTAAGGCAGCAACAGCAGCTGTGCCACTAGAGGGAGCCTTTGGTAGTAACAGAAAGATCCCCTGGTATTTCCAGGTGGGCAGAGCTTAGAGAGGCCACCTTCCCTCTGGTGGGGTGATAGGACATCTGGCTTTTCCACCAAGGTCTTTTTGACCAGACATATCTTAGCTAAGGGATGTCCAAACATCAGAATGTGAGGCCAACCTTCTATCAGAGTTAAACTTTTGACAAGGGAACAAATCTCAAAACGGATGTATCAGTTATGTAGCTAGCTGTAGAGCTTGCAACTTAACTAGCAACAGCTGCCCGATGCCATGTGAAGTAACAAACTGGTTTTTGGTTTTTTTTCCTTTCAGTTTTAATGTTATGTGTAATGTATTTAAACCCTTATTTAAATAAAACTTGTTTTCAGAAACACCTGACTTGCAGATTCTGCTTTTTATATATAGTCAATCCTGTGCATATGAAGGAATCCTAGAAATGGGCAGTGGAGGATATGTCTACATCCACAGCTTCTCAACAGGGGCCTGAACTTTTGGGCCAAGAAAACCTTTATGACCTTGACCCTTCCAGGTCAACTGTTTTGCAAGCATTTAGCCAGAGTCATGCTGTCCCATTAATCAGTGTCCTGGAAGGAGTTCTGCATGGCTGAGATAGTTGGCCAGCATCCCAAGGGATGCAGTGGTCACTGGGCTTTCACTCTTAGTAGCTGTGGAGGAGGAACTTGCCTTGAGATGACAGCAGGTTGGTCGATGATCCTTTGAGCTCCCTAAGTGATGATTTGGCTTAAGGACAGTGGAGAAAAGACCTGGCAGAAAAGGACAGTCATGGTATAGGGCTTAATCTAAGATCCACAGATTCCTAGGGATGATACAGAAAAGGATAATTTTCTAGGCAATGGGGTTGTATATTAAAAGTTCCGTGACTATAAAGTATTTGAGGAACTGGAATTAAATGTTGGAAGCCATCCCTGACAAAGGACAATGAATAGCAAATATAATGTTTCAGAGAAGAGAATGGTTACTGTGTGTGTTGCCTGTAGCATTCAGTAGAGTAACAGTAGTTACGGTCTGTAGCCTGAGAGCAATAGGCTGTACTACACAGCTTTGGTGTGTTATACCGTGTAGGTTTGTCTGAGTATACTCAATATTGCCCAACAAAATCACCTAGTGACTGCATTTCTCAGAACACCCCCATTGTGAGAAGCAACACAAAATTAGTAAATTTACTACCAATCGGGCAGGTGAGGAGTGTGGAGGGCTGGTGGAACGCTGAGCCAGTGGCAGCTGCCCTAGAACTGGGAGGTTGTGTTAATCTATTTTCTGCAGTCAGAGTGCCACAGACTGCATAATTTATTTTAAAAAGGAGATGTGGCTCATGGTTCTGGAGGCCCAGAAGTCCAAAGGCTGGTGCCTGCATCTCACAAGGGCCTTTTGCTGTGTCATTACATGGTGGGAGGGTAGAGAGCAAGTGGGGGCCAAACTTACTTTTATCAGGAGCCTGTTGATGGGTGTGAGCAACCATACCCCGTCTGGGTGATACTTTTAAATCATTAAGATTTGACTGTGAAGCAAAAGGGCTTTTCTTAGAGAAACTTCTAGAGAAGCATGGAGGCGAAGCCTACAGTCAGAGATGGGATAAAACAGCAAGAGGAAAAGAACTATGTGGCCAGGTCCTGCGTGAGGCTGTTACTTATCATGTTTTGTTTTTTTCCTAGGGAGTCCCACTCTTGCCCAGGCTAGAGTGCTATGGCATCAGCCTAGCTCACAGCAATCTCAGACTGGGCTTAAGCGATCCTTCTGCCTCAGCCTCCCGAGTAGCTGAGACTACTGGCATGAGCCACCATGCCTGGCTAATTTTTTCTATATATTTTTAGTTGTCCAGCTAATTTTTCTGTTTTTAGTAGAGACGGGGTCTCACTCTTGCTCAGGCTGGCCTTGAACTCCTGAGCTCAAGTGATCCACCTGCCTCGGCCTCCCAGAGTGCTAGGATTACTTGCAGGTGTGAGCCACTGCACCATCCAGCCTTATGCTTTTTAAGGCTCTCCATTCTCTAGGATGGGATTATTCCAAGTTAAACTACCAATGTCTGCCTTAAATCAGCTGTCTGTGGAGCCAACCAAAACAAATACCTGAAAGTATAACTGAGGAAGTTTGTGAGCACCCTAATCCAAATGATGTGACTTGGGTGTATATCAGGACTGAATTAAGAAAGTATAATTATGGCCAGGCACAGGGGCTCATGCCTGTAATCCTAGAAGGCCAAGGTGTGAGGATCACTGGAGACCAGGAGTTCAAGACCAGCCTGAGCAAGAGTGAGACCTGTCTTTACTAATAATAGAAAAATTAGCTCGGTGTGGTGGTTCATGCCTGGAGTCCCAGCTACTCAGGAGGCTAAGGTAGGATTGCTTGATTCCAGGAGTTTGAGATTGTGATGAGTTATGGTGACACCACTGTATTGCACTGTAGCCCATGTGATAAAATGAGACTCTGTCTCAAAAAAAAATCATCTCCATTGAAGTTGAGAAAAACATGAAAGTGTCCAAGGTTAATAAGAGGTAGAGCCTCATCTAGAACCCAGGACTCCCTGTGTACTGACTGCTCTTTCCACCAGATGTCCTGGACATTCACAATTTAAAGAACTCATTGCACAGAGATTGTTGGGTGCTTGGTTATGTAGTGCACTGTGCTGGGAACCAAGGGCACACACAGATAAGCCAGGCAGACACCCTGTGCTCAGGATATGATGGCCTTTTAGGGGTGTCAGACCAGCACACAGCCTTGACACAGGACAGGGGCCCATGCAGCCACTGCCTTGGCCAAAGAGCCACAGGATCTCCAAGGATCAGGAAATCCCCCCACTGCCATCTTCAGCTGGGCCAGGGAGGCCCCTTAAAGGAGTGCCACCTGAAGCAGGCAAAAGGAGTCAGACCCAGAGGTGAGAGACACCTAGTGGGTATAAGGAATCTAAAGCAGGACCATTTGGCTGGAACAAAGGCCCCATTATAGAGTAGAAATAACACAGTACTGTCTCGCTACTATATGCCCGGGCCTATGCTAAGTGCTTAAGTATACGTCAGCTCATTGTTTACCAGTAGGGATTCATTAGTCCCTTGGAAGAACAGATACAGCAAGGTAATGTAACTTCACCAGCAAGTAGGAGAGAAGGGAGTAGAGGACAGTGAGTACTGGAAAGTCTGTGAGGTGGGAGAGGACTGAGCCACAAGCTAAGACATTGAGATGTTACTATGCAAACGAATCACAGGGAAGGATTGATTATGGTGAAAGACATCTCCTATCTCTGCTCCTTAGCCCCGCTTCCTACCCTTGGACGCCCAACCCTCCTGCCCCCCACCCCCGCCCCATGTGACAGCAAAACGTGGGAACAAACTGCTTCTTAAAGTGGTGTTATGAAGACAAAATGAAAACTGGTCGGCTACAACTGCGCAAGAATCTACTGAAACAACTTGACAATCTAATCAAATTGCTATAAACTCTACAAATAGGCCAAAAAAAACAAGCAGTGTATTTGGAGAACTGAGCATGCAAACCAAGTAGCTTAAGGAACATAGATCCCGTTCCTTGTTTACCAATCTCGCTGGTGCCCCCTTGTGGCAGTAATATAGAAACACAGGTTACTATTCACAAGGCTTTGCAATTAAGAGCTCCTTGCCTAATGTTTAAATTTTTAGGAGATATCCATAATTCCAAAGTTAGCACATAATGTGAAGCTTTAGTAATTTCTTTTCTTGTATGCTGTTAATTCCTCCAAGTTCAAATATTTGTAAAATGCACTGTTCTTGGGGATCTAATTAAAAATTCAGATTTTATGTAATCCTAGCACTCTGGGAGGCCAAGGCGGGCGGATTGCTCAAGATCAGGAGTTCGAAACTATCTTGAGCAAGAGCGAGACCCCGTCTCTACTATAAATAGAAATTAATTGGCCAACTAGTATATAAAGAAAAAATTAGCCGGGCATGGTGGCGCATGCCTATAGTTCCAGCTACTCAGGAGGCTGAGGCCGTAGGAACACTTGAGCCCAGTAGTTTGAGGTTGCTGTGAGCTAGGCTGATGCTACGGCACTCACTCTAGCCTGGGCAACAAAGGGAGACTCTGTCTCAAAAAAAAAAAAAAAATTAGATTTTAGGCCCCACTTACAACAACTTGCCTCTATTGGGTATTAGCTGAACAATGCCCAGGTCCCACATACTTTTCAAGGGTCTATGAAAATGTTTCAGAACTTGAACTTTCATCTCCAAAATTTGACCAAAAACTGCAAAATCCAAAGCCAATGAATAAATGTTTAACATTACAAACTGTAACATTGGCAATAACTGCAATGTAATTCTTATATAGCTATATGTAAACATAGTAAGAGTTCTAGAGAAACTTTTTCTTTTTGAGACAAAGTCTAACTCTTTTGCCTGGGATAGACCGCCATGGCATCAGCCTAGCTCACAGCAACCTCAAACTCCTGGGTTCAAGCAATCCTGCCTCAGCCTCCTGGGTAGTTGGGACTATAGGCATGCGCCACCATGCCCGGCTAATGTTTTTCCATTTTTACTTGTTTGGCTAATTTATTTCTATTTATAGTAGAGACTGGGTCTCACTCTTGGTCAGGCTGGTCTCAAACTCCTGAGTTCAAGCAATCCTCCGCCTGGGCCTCCCAGAGTGCTAGGATTACAGGCGTGAGCCACCATGCCCGGCCAGAAAATTAATTTTTTAATAAAACTCAAACATGTAGAATTTATAAACATCCTTTCAAAAAAGTTACAGAAAACCGATGTTTATTTTGCCTATAGGTTCTATTTTTTTGGAGACAAGATCTCACTCTGTTGTCCAAGCTAGAGTGCAGTGCAGTGATGTCATCATTGCTCACTGCAGCTTTGAAGTGGTTGGTGAGCTCAAGCAATCCTCCTGCCTCAGCCTCCCAGATAGCTGGGAATACAAGCACGCACCACCACATCCAGCTAATGCTCAGGCCAGTCTCAAACTCCTGACCTCAAGCAATCCTCCCACCTCGGCCTCCCAGAGTGCTAGGATTACAGGTGTGAGGCACCGTGCCTGGCCATATGGGTTCGTTTTATTCACCTGACATCAAGTGTGATGGGGCTTCTGAGGTTAGAATGCCTGGCCCAAAAAGATCTAGGAAATGGCTCCCCTTACAGCCATAGTTTCTGGTGCAGAAGCTCTGGTGTGGAGTCCAGAAATCTGCATTTCTAACCAGCATCAGCCAATTCCTTGGGAGCCATTACCCACACTTGGGGAAACACTGCCTTGGCCAATGGGGAACTATTAAGGACACGTGGACAGGAGGGAAGCAGCATCCGAGCTCAACTTCAGAAAGGTAATCAGGAGTATTCTATTTAAGATAGTTTGAACAGGTAATGGCTCAAGGTCAGAACTCGGTCACCAGCA